CATTTAACAAACTACCATACAGGTCTTAACTGTTGTTACCTCCCGTTTAACACTCAGTGGTTGATAGGAATGTTTGCGACCCAACGACCCTAAACCCGAAAGCCCGTCTGTTACACGCTATCAAACATGTCAAGCAACATCTAGTAGTTTCCTTAAATGGGGTGCCCCCAATGCAGACCCAACCATACCAGCAGTATAATCCTTATGTATAAGTACACCCTCCCCTCCCCCCCTGAAAAAGTCACCAGAATGTTGGGAAACCCTAAACCCTATATCCTCCTACATAGCCCCTATAACATCCTTTAAAGGCACACCCCTAACTTTTGGACAATGAGCCCCAGGCTGCGTCACTTCCATTCGCGGTCCGGCACCAGCAGATCTGCCTTTCGCAGCCGATCGAGCAGCCGCTGATGCATCCTTGGCTGCTTTGCCTTCTTCCAAACCCTAAATCCTATACCTTGGGTACTGCCCCCACCCAGTAACAGTCTATATTAGGGGTCCTGTTAAGGGCTATATATATCCATATTATAATTATTATCCAACTGTTACTGAGGGCGGGCAGTGCCCAACCTATACCCTAAAAAGGAAGCCCAGGAGACCCTGGGGATAAGCAAGGACTGCACTGTCCCCGTGCAGGGCATGTAGAAGGACAATGAGTAGGAACTGCGAAATCAGCTGCAGGGCTGAAGGCCATTCAAGCCCACAACCCCCAAGGGAAGCTTCAAAAGCTTCAAGCAAGCTGAGCGCTCAGAGGGCAGTGACCTCTTTGATCCTACTACGGTAACCCTTCGAGAACATTGTGACTTCTATGGGCCTTTGCGTATACTTCGATCTGTCTTTTGGCCCGCCCATTCGGTGCTTGCTACAATGCCGGAGTTCTACGCCACAGCTGCAACGAACCAGGCTAACCTTCACAAGCTAACATGTAGAACTTGAATTAAACAGTTGTAAACCTAAGCTCCGCTTTTAAAGCATAGTAGTCTTAGCCGGATTCCCTTGCTGAGTTGCATGTAAGTTGCATGTTGGTTTGGGGGACGGCAACCCTTAACCTTAACCCATGATAATGGGATTTCACTTGCACCAACCTCAAGAATTAGGATAGCCATCTATGACTCTAGCGAAGTCTTGATTTGGGAGTTGCGGTTACCAAGTCCCTCTTATCACGCAATAGAACCCCTGTGTACCCCCCCCCTCCCCATAGTACCCTGATTGCACCTACTTTTCCATCTGCTCCTCATTCTTTTAGGGCTTATCAATCTTGAGCTGCAGTCTTACAATAAGGTCCTAACCTCGGCAGTTACCAAAATCCTGTTATCTTATTGCCCTAAACCCCAAACCTCTTACCTTGACTCCAAGCAGCTCCAATGGGGCAATGGTATTAGCAACTCCAGCTGCGTTTCCCGCGACGGCGGGCACGCCTATCCTGAAGGATTCTGTAGGACTGTTGTTAAGTGTGGGGCAACATAAATCGCAAGACATTATACTCCTTGTTCTATGGATTTCTAGGGGTAATGTAACCTCCACATTTAGCAGATCGCCATACAGCAGCAATGTGTCCCACATACTCAGCATGACTATCCCAGAACCCACCCATGCCCCAAACTATACCTGTGCTTCTTTCAGGGCTAGGGGATTTAGGGGGTGAGGTTTCGGGATTCGGGCTTTCACAGATTTGGCTTATTTCCTTTTGAAACTTGTGACTGCGGTCATTGCGCCGCCATTTTACGCAGCATGGAAAGACAAGAGTTCTAGCATGGGCTTGGGCTCTAGGGTTCTGGGGTGTAAAGCTTGGGGTTTGCAACTGCCACCATGCCATCTATGACCACCAACGTCCGGCGATGGCAATGGTAGTGATGATAAGGCGAACAGGGAAACACAACTAGAATAAACAACTTGGTGAGACATACTGAAAGTGATGCCGGAATACAAATGATATTCAACGCGGGTAGAGGTGGTGGTGCTGCCGGCGGCGGCGGCGGCGTTGGGAGCGGTGGCAGTGGCGGGGCCAGTGCCGGTGCTTGTTGGGGCCGGGGTGGCGGTACAAAGTTCTTTCAACCCTCAGCGCGCCTACAGAGCGATTCTCAAGCTCGACAGTAAAAACGCCCGAGTAAATATGGTATTCGCTCCGGAGTACTGGAACTTGGAATTCCAACCTCCATACGTGTATCCATGCATTTGAACCTTGTCGCCCACCCTCTACCGCCAAAGGCAAAATGACCGGGTGGTTTCCATAAATAGCGGGACCCAATATCGACCCCAACATACCCCAAATCCTAACTATAGGGACTGGCAAGAAGGGGCCCCCAATTTTTGGACACCTCCGTGAGCATTCCGAAAACAGCCCAGCATCCCAGGGAATGAGCCCTCGCCCACACACCAGAGGCCCTCCAGGGGCGTCTGCGGCGAGGGGTAGCTCTGCCTATGTGGAAAGCATGGCTTCTTAGGGAGGAATGGAGTTTCAGAAGAAGGATGCAAGATGGCATGCAGATGCGGCTAAATCCAGTGAGGGATTCTATGCCACTCCACAATGCAGACATTTCTGCGCCAACAACCTTACAAAAAAAAAAACGACACGACAACATAACCCTTCCAACGCCGTATGTGATCTCATCGGACTTTTTAAGCTACTGCATGACCCCAGTTTCCAAGTCATTCAGTTTTTTCCACTGCATGCTCCATTATTGGGTTCATGACCCTAAACCCCTGAACCCCCACAAATTTTTACCCTCCCCTGAAGAGCGTGTGAGCCGCTGCCCAGCACGGTATGCCGGGCCGTAGGTGCCGCGGTGCCGGTTCAGGAATCGCTCGTGCGTTCTGGAATGGCGGGTGCCAAGAAGCTTTGGGGTTGAATGTTCAGGGAAAGTTTGAGGATCTTAGCCACAAGCCACTTGTATCAAGATATGCTTTCTCCTTAGTGGCCATGGTGTGAAACATGCCTTTGGGGTCCTTATCACCACGGCTTCACCTTCCAGATGCAACTGATAGGGTGACTCTCAGCTTTTCATTTTGCAACCAGCTATATGAAGGTTCACAAACCAGCGAAGCGTCAATGGCGTACCGACCATTTCGACAACCACTCGCCGCCGAATGTCAGGGATCACGCGCTCAACAGCCCGCCACAATGCTTGCGAGCGCATTTCCTGAGGCTTCATACTTCTTTCGTAGCCACATCTTTTTCAGCACGCCAACACAACATGATGCCAAGCATCCATGCAACTATCACTCGCTAGGCAAGTCCTGGTTTGGTTGCTTTACATTCGTGGAGGGAGGGAGGGAGGGGAGGGAGGGAGCGAGAGGGAGAACAGAGTGAGAATCAGAGACAGAGAGACTTATATACAGGTATGTGGCATGGACTGGCAGGGACGTGACGTCTAAGTATAATGTGACGATTTCCTCTTGCTTTGTAGGGCTCATCTGAGCATGAAGGTTCAGTGCAAGCTCCTGGATGAGAGAACTTTTCCTGCGTCGATTTTAGATGTACACCTATTGTCGTTCTCCCACTTCTATAGTTCTCGAGGGCGGAGTTTATCTCTGTTTTGGTTTCATTTAGCTCTTTCTTCTTCCTCCCCAGTGAGCTGCGAGGAAACATTTGGACGAGGGGACATGGAAAGACCCATCCTTCTACGGCTTGCTGACAAGAACTTTTTTTGGGGGGGAAGGAAGAGAGAGGGGGGTCTAAAGGTGAAGGACGGAACTTCTGCATCAGTCCCTCCTCTGATGTCTGTCAAGGACACCATCAACAAACTGGTGGTCTCTCTATTCTTTCTGCATCACTTACTCTCCTGAATTATGCTTTTGAAGGAGATAGCAAAAACCACTCCTTCCCACACCTTGCTGAAAAAATCATTGGGTAAGCAAAAGTATGATCGGAACCAAGAGTGAGAGGAAAAAGAAAGAACAAGGGAATGAATGCATGTCGTCCGTCCTCTGCCCTCTTCTGTTGTTCCTTTTGTGCATCTTTGGTCTCCGCAAGAAGAAGAGACACGACAAAAACGTGCGAGAAGGACAGGAAGGAAGAAGGTACGGAGTGGAAAGGGGGTGAAATCCTCATTCTGTCCCTGTCCTTCCATTATCTTGTCCGCTCTTGAACCACATCTCCTGTATCTTGCGTGAATATTAAAGTAACAAGGAGAACATACAAGGAAAGACAAGAAAACGGTTCCTGTTTTTGTATCCTTCTGTGAGGAACCATCTCTGCGAAGAAGACTCCCGGAGAAGTGAAACAGCAGAGAAGAAGACAGGGTTGGAGGATCATCAAGACATGAAAGAACGGTATCTTCACTGTTTTTGAGTGGCTTTCCTAACATCAGCGGGGTAGAAGTGGGGAAGCTGTAAATTAACAACGACAAAAACTCAATGCATACGATGGCACAGGCGCCCTACAACCCTACAACCCCTAAACCTAAAACCCACTTCGGTACATATAGTTACCGCCCCAACTCCCCAGATCCTTCTTGTGCTTGTACTCCTCCGAACGCCGGTCCATGCCCGCCCATTCCTCGTAAGGCTCCGTGGCCGGCAGATATGCATGCAGGCCTGAGCATAGCTTATAGTTATTATGACTAGTAAGGCTACTGCTGTTGTAGTTACTATTATTATTCAGTACTGTTGTTGCTAGTAGTTACTCAGAAACAAATGCTACCTGGGTTTGTGGGCTTCGGTGTTCTGGTTTGGGGTTTAGGTGTGGCTTAAAGGTTCAAAAGTCTGAGGTCTTTCTCGGTTGTAGGGGGTTTGGACCCCAAGTAGCGGATCATGAGGCCTGTACGGGTTGCAGATTTGTCGCGCTAGCCCCTTCTGACAGAGGCACTGTTCGTCCTTCTCCTTGGGGTAATATAGCTAGGGACATCCGGAAGAAGCGGGAATGGACGGTGTTTTTAGGATTTTGCCTTCGTTCGGAATCGAAGGCTCTTGGTTATTCGACTAATACGCACCCAACTTTTAAATGTCCATGCACCTACGTTTAAGCATAGAGGATAGATGGCCCATGTCGCAAATTTCAACTACCAGCTGGAGGCTGCCGAGAAAACCTTTTCGCCAAGCATGCCCGAGATGCAGGCGTAGCCTTCTGGCGCGGCGGTGTTGTCGAGCGCACTTGGGATGGAGATGAAGACCAAGTTGTCGCGCGCATCTATTGGCGCCCGGAGGTCTGCTGCTGTTATGTGATGCACTCCCAGAGAAGCAAGGTCCAGCCCATCCTTGTTGAGGGCTTGGGCTTGTGTTCTTTGTGTGGGGGCTCATAAACCTTGACATGACAGGGTTTCGGGTCGAAGTAGCCAGATGAGAGCAAAGTACTGTTGCAAGCAGCTAGACGTGGCTTGTCTTCATCGGGCACTCTTTACTTTCCGGCTAATTTTAGGTGGATTTGACTTGAGGCGCCAGGGAAGCTGTGCTCGCGGAGCCACAGTCGAGAGGTGTCTGCGCATCCTCACCTAATCTCATATTGAAAGCTTCCACTCCTCCTAACGCTGACTATATTCTAAGACGGACCTGAAGTAGATGTAGAGGGACCCTGCCGGGACTTCTCGAGAAGATAAGCTCTAGAAGCAAATGCAGCAAAAATGTTACGACACGTGAAGTTCGTGGCGCAAAAGTGGGACCCTGATATGCGAAACTACTTAGGAATTTGGGGCCCAGCGTGTCGAACATCGCGGGCGATTTAGGTTTTAGGGTTTACGGGGAACTCTGCCATTCAAATCTTCATGCTTCGGCCATCATTACATTAGGGTTTGAGATCCTGTTTATGGGGGGGGGGGGTTCTCAAAACACGGGGTGCTACAGGGACCCTACGGATGCAAGCAGGTCCCCCTTAGGCCTATAGAGGGATACTGTTGAGAAGCTCCCATGTTGCTGCTCCAGCAGCCTTGACTGGGGTTCATGCATGAGTTTGTAGTGTTGCTAGTCATGGGGGTATAGGGGTATATAGGATTAAGGGTTTAGGGCTCAGGGCTTCCCAAAATTAAGGGAAACAGCCTTACTATCAGTCCTGGGGGCTCACATTTCTCAAAACAATCCCTATATGACCCCGTCCATTTAGCCCACACTCCTTACACAATCTTTGTAGATCTGGGGGGTTCCCAAATTAGGGGTACCTTTTTGGGAGATCCCTATACTAAGGATGATAGCATTGTTAGGTCTATATTGGAGTTCCCTGTTTTGGGCAACTGCCATCTAGGATACCCAAGTGAACTCCACTTTGAGAAGTTCCCGCATCTTAAGCGTTGCCAAGTCTCGGCACGAAAGCCCAGGTGAAGGTGCATGAAGCTTGGACACAGGGGCACCCCAACCACGTCTAATGCAGAGCCCTTCACCTTGGGGCGCCACTCCTTTGCATGGGAGGCTTCTTGAAACCGCGGCGCCTAATACGGGCAAGCCTCGTACTTAGCGTAGTTACCTGTGATCTTAGGAAAAGAGGGTCTTGGGTTGTGCTTAAATATTAAAAAGTAGAATGACAAAACTGAATTTGGCTAGACAATCTGCAGGCGCACGTCAAGAACCCCAAAAGCTTAAACCGCGGACCCCAAGCTCCTAAGACTTATAAACCCTAGACCGCAAGCCCCTAAGCCTTATACCGCATATGGGCCAGGGAGTGGGGTTGGGCTTGCTTGGGGTCTGGAATTTGATGCTCCGGAGTCACGAGGCCTTTTTTGCTCAGGGTCTCTACAGGAAAGGTCCAAGTATCTGAAGACATACAAAGGGGCACCCTAAAATCCCAAACCCAAACTCTCAACCCTAAACCCTAATCCTAGCCTTGTTCATTCACCCTAAACTCTTTCAGTGAAAACTGAACCCGACACTCTAAATCCCATCCTCCGGGAGCAGAGTCGACGCCGTGTTCCACACATCTACATTGCACAGCACTGCCACACGAGCCTGCTTTTTGCTTGGGATCGTGACGACCGGGGCTTTTTTTCTGGGATTTTGGGGTCTGTACACATTACTACAATGGTATGTCAAAATCTGGACCCCAAAAGGCCAATACCCCTTGATTAAGGAATTTGCCCTAAAAACAATACTGGGATCCCTCTGTGAAAATAAGGCACTTTCCTCAATTAAGGGGTAATTATTGGGCACCCTGAGGTGCTACCTAAACCCTAAACCCCACTGGCTTTCCTTCCAAACTTGGGCCAGCAGCATCAAGGTGCTCGCCGCCCTTGAGCCCGACCCCAATGCATCGTCCGGCCTGGTCCAGGGACACATGAACTATAGTCTAAACTCCTTAAGGGGGGTTATATAGGGGATTATATAGGGAACTACTAAAGGGGCTATTAAGGGGGATACTAGGAGTTTAGACAGTGGCTCACATCCCGTTGCGGAGAGGTAGTTGGGCATAGTGGAGATTCAAATGGAACATGAAGTGGAAAATCAAATTGGGCCACGTAAGTTGATATTATAGCTTTTTATGAGATTAGTTACTATTTCTAATGTCTAAAAGGGAGATACACTCGAATTCCAGATTGGGGGGTGCGGTATCCCCATTTAAAGAACTGCTCCGTTGAGATTGGTTTTCCTTTTCAAGTGTTTGGGATTGCAGCAATGCTCGTGCCGAGTGCTTGCAGGGTTGCTGGACAAACAGGAGGTAGCCCTGCCCTTAAACCCTGAACCCCTAAACAATGACCAGGCAGCATTGTCCACAGTGAGCCCTTCCACACGCGTGCGCAGGCGGAGCTCTCCGCCTCGCTTTTCGACGGCACGTAGCAGAGCGTCGACCAGTGCGCCAGAACCACCCTTCCGGAGATTTTTTGGGGACGGTTGGACTCTGAGAAGTGGAGAATCCACTGCTCGACTAGCTTGAAATGGATTTTAGACAAGGGTAGGGATCTGGCTGTTTCTTCCAAACATGCATGCTTGTCAGCTCTGCTTCCGAACAAACACGTACAGTATCCCACAGCGCTGCGAGCACATGCCGTGCAATTTGGGGGAATAAATCCTAGGTCACTTCAGCCCGAAACCCTATAAGCCCTGAATCCCAAGCCCTAAAGCACTCTCCTTTCGCGTCCCAGCCTTCGGGTAATCCATGACTGCGCCAGGCGCGAAGAATTCCCGCATCATGAAAGACACCCCAGCAGCTTGCGTTGCCTCGGCTGGGTGTTTTGGGGCTCATGGCAAACACGTCCCCACCACTCCAAACGGGGTAATTATCAACTTCAGCCTGCTACAATCCCATCCAACCTACTCCCTATAACCCCTATAGAACCCATTAGACTAGTTTCCATTTTCTTTTCCATTATCCCTATATAACCTATACTACCCTATATTGTCCCAATATTACCTACAAACTTGTGACAGTCCTAGATGCACTGGCAGGAAGCCCTTGAAGCGCAAAAGCCAGGAAGTCGAAGAACCATCCAGTCAGAGAGGACTCCGGCACTCTCCCAGCCTTCAGCACGTCTGAAAACGGAGCTGAGGGGCTGATCCCCGACATGACCTTAGGTTCTTCAGAAGCTAGGAGTCTCAGGAAGCTGATTTCACTTCCGAGCATTGTGGGTAATTCATCGGGAACTGATTGTGCTTCAGCTCCCGTCTACGTGATCGTGGAAAGCACGATGATGTGCACCCAAGAGACCATTGACAACCCAGACAGTGGATCCATCTTTCCAAAATACCTCGTGTCTTGCATGTCCGAGGACAGATCATAGAAAACTCCCAGCTTCCTACTGGGCAAGGAGGATGTGCAAGTTGCAAACCAAATATCGAACAAGGCAAGCTAAGCAAGATGTCGGAAATGCTCATCGCACGAATCCCTGGCAAACATATATACAACTTCACAGGGGCATTAACTGAACAACCAACACAAGAAATGTGTGCTCCAAATCCAAGACTTCGGTCCCCGGTTCCAGAACACTTGAATGCTTGATGCTTACTTGGAGAAGAAGACCAACAAACTGTAAAGCATCCCCCTATATGGAGCAATTTAGATGTGCAGAAACAGACAGGCCCTTGGATTAATCATACCATTGCTATTGTCCCAAAGTACGGCAACAGCGTCTGCGCCGCCCCCACGTCCTGATTGCTCTTGCGCAAGGAAAATAGAACGGGGTCATCAAGGGGTCGTAAGAGTGCTTAGGAAGTTTGCGTTGAGAACTTTATGCACCAATCATACAAGGAGCCGTCCAAGAAGTCTGCTGACTAACATGGCATGTGCGTGATAACAACTTCCAAACACTAAGCCTAGCATCCTGGTCCGTGAATCCCGAGGCTCCAGGTCCCATCATACTTAAAATCCTCAGCCCAGAACTGATTACTAGCTGCCATCCAAAGATCTGCCCTAAGGGCAATGGGGGGCACTGCTGCAATCAGCTCGCCCAGTGGGGCATTCGCTGCACAAAGGCGGTTGAAAATGTCCGCCTTTGCAGAGGGGCAGTAGCATGAAACAACATGAGATATAGCTGTGGTAGTACCACACAGACCTCAAGCAGATGCATTCATGGCAGCGTACTATGAACAAAAGCCACAATGCGCATCACGTTAGTCAGAAGTAAGTACAAGGCCTACGCCACCATCATCATCAACAACAACGGCGTTGAGGGCTGCCAGAGCTCTTTGGGGTCAAAACATCCCACTTCCAAGTAGTTGGACGGCGAATGCAAGCCCAAAACGTCGGAGTCACATTAATGCACCGGGCTGCAGCGCTACACAAATTATCCAGCATGCAGGCTTAACAAATGCGAAGCCACATTGCCCACAGCATTGAACGTTAGTCTCAAATGGTAGCGCGAGGCCTCATTTCTCCACATACCAAACCGGTACGACCTTCGTCATCTTTCACTAAAAACGATTTATAATGATCCGTCACAAGGCCAGCCATCGATCCCTCCCAGACTCTCCTTCCCCAGATCCCGGAGTTGCCGATTTGTTGTGATGCATTGCTTGCTGTGTAGCGGAGGGGAGGTTCACGTTTCGGCGCTGGCATGGCATGTCATGCTATTAAACAACCACACACCGCCGTAGAACATCGCAATAACGATCCGCTGTACGATTTGGTGCCTCAGCTGCATCGCCGCTGACACGTGCCAGCTCCCGTCCGAAGGCTGCGGCGTCGCCGGAGCCTGTGGTCAATTCACTTTCCGTGCATGTCTACAGTTAAGAAAATGCTCCTCAGGCCTGTCCGGATTGACTGTAGACTTGTTCTACTGAGCCTGGGCCTGACTTTAAAAGATCCCGATGACATCATGTCGAATCCACTTAACCTGCCACCAGCCCACTCATGACCGCTTGACGTCACATTTCACTGGTCTGAGAAAAGGGGTCTGCCTTCCTTCCTATAGTATCCTTTCCATGGGATTGCATGCAATGGGCATGCTTTTGGAGAAGGACCCGATGCCTGAGCAACTAAAGCATGTTAAGAGAAAGGTCGTAGATCTTTTATTTTCTTAAGTCTTGCAGCATTTGCATGGTCTGTACTGCACGGCACGGTGCATGAGCAAAGGTGCAGGCGTGAATGATAGACAAAGGCGAGCCCTACAGGCAACCTTGAGAAGTGCTATCATAGGCAAGGACTGCTGTGGAAGCGAATGAAGTGACGCATATTTTTCCATGAACTGCCCAGTACCCGGGGAATTGTGACGTCATGGCTTCTGTTTTCGTACATCCTTTAAGCGGACCACTGCGTGCCGCATACTTACATCTATGAAGTATAACAAGCCTGCATGAGCCCTGACTCCTCACATACCCGAGTATATCTATATCTATCACTGCAAGCAGCTCTAGTTTCATTTTACTTAGGGTCCACCGGCCGGGGGGGTTGGGGCAGGGAACAGACTGTGCGGCTACTATACAAGCCTAACCAGTTACCAATGCCAATATCATCTTCAGATCGTTTTGAGCTACCTTATACCACAGGGACCCTTTTTGAGGGTAGCCATTAAAAAGGGTTGTGGTATTTTGGAGTTCAGGTGGGGGCCTCCTGCTTTTGGAAACCATAGGGATGAGACTTGAAAAGGCAGGTTCGGTTTAACGGTTTAAGGACGTTGCAGGGACACTGCCAAGGCATCATGTGCTCGGATTTGCCGATTTGCATCAAGTAGTGAATAAGGGAATATATTATAGGGATTATATACTGGGTATATTCCTTTATTCCCTGCAAGCCCAGTAAGTCATCTCAGCTGAGGAGCCTACATCAAAGAGCTTGTCACCCGGCAGGTACATCTTCCAGCGGTCATAGGGCAGCCACTCAGGCGCCTCACCCACGGAGTCCAGAACCTGCATTCCAAAAGCTCTGTGGCTTTTCTCTTGTAGGGAAAATACTAGGCATGACGCCCAATCACCAATTGCCCCACGATAACTATGTTTACCCTCTACTAGCCCTAGCTTTGATGATGCCTCGCATGATGTCCACTGTAAGGGTCAACACAAACGAAACCATAATTTTGAGGATTCTGCGTCTACAACCCATCGGATGCTTGATTTGCTGTACCGTTCCTAATGTCCCTAGCGGTGGAGAATGCAAAAAAAAAACTGAATCGTTCCATAAACGAATTGCTCGAGTAAGCTGACCCGCGCTAACATGTTACGACACGCTTGCAGCACAGACCCACCAAAAGTAGCCCTGATTCTGAGACACCTTCCACCTTTCATGCTGAATGCATCCCTTAAGTGTGCCGTACCCAGGAAGCACAATACTGTACCCATTAGTTGCGGAACGCACCCTACATTATAAGATAAGGGATCTCAGTATCATGTAGGGTATATACCTTAATTAGAGGGTATCGGGCGTGCGGGGCATATAAGAATGACGCAAAGGTCGAAACAGATAGCCCTGCTTAGAAAATACGTGGTCATCCTCTCATTGCTTACCTCTTTTTAGCAGGGAATGCAACGGCAAAGAACATGGAAACTTCTAGATCATTATAAGATGATATTGGGACTACTCTTGGCATCTGTCAGGCCTTGTTAACTCAATGATTCCAACCCTCCTACGATCAACCCTAAACCCTTAACCCTTAAATGACCCGTGGAGCACCTGGCGAAGCGGATTGGCTGAGGGCGCACTCATGCCGGAGAAGAGCCTCGTTCTCGAGGAAGGGTTGGGGGGTCTTTTGCGGTCTTCAGAGATTTAGAGTTTAGGGTTTAGGGTTTAGAGGATAGTGATAGTCCAGAAGAAAGTTGAAGTAGGCGTTCAGGATTACCAGAAAAAGCCTGACAGAGAATGTGACACAGTATGGGCCATAATGCAAACTCCAAGTACCATGCCTCATACACGTCCTGGAATCGCCGGACTAGACTAGAAATGCTGAAGCCATAGCTGTAAATCCTATTTAGAGTGCCTTCCACCTAAGAACCTTGAAGCAAAAACAAGCTTAAACCTCCAAACGCGCAACCCCAAAGTTTGGAACAATTCAGTCCCAGGGCGATGGCCCGCTGTCGAAGCGGAATGTCCCCACGCCTTTCACCTGTCTACTTTCCAGTCCGGGGGCTTCAGTTTCTGCAGTCTCTTTAAGCCCATAATAAGATCTTTTTTGTTATCCCTTAGGGTTATACTATAATACAAAATGAAATTATTCCTAAGGAGACTACAGGTTTTATGGGGTCTAGGTCCAGGCTTGTATGGCCAAGAATACAGAATCCAAATAGTCGTCAGCATTAGCCCCAAAAACAGAACAATGAGGGTACAGTGTGTTACCATGCGATACCATGCAGACGTCTTGTACAAAGGCACCATACGCCAACATAGTACCTCCCCGCTTTCGCTATTCCGTAGTGGTCTGAATAGTCCCGAAAACTTCCTATGTCCCTTTCCTAAATGTTTCCATTTTCTTTCCATTACCCCTATATAACCTCTATATACTATAGTAGTTTGCGTTTTCTTTTCCGTTATGCCTATAGAACCCCTATATACTATAGTAGCTTCCATTTTCTTTTCCCTTATCCCAATATAATACAACCCCAATATATACCCTATAATCCCTATATAACCCTCATATAACCTCTGTATTTCCTGTAGTTTCAATTTTCTCTTCCATTATCCCTGATTATGCAGGAGCAAGTTTTGGTACTCACCACCTTGCGCTCGAAGCCATGGGCTGCGCCACCCGGATGCTCGTGCGCCTCACAGACAACCACACGGTAGCCGTACATCGCCAGCATCGCTGCAGCAGACAGCCTAAGCTGGATTGGGGTTCAAAGTGCAGGCTGCCGACATCTGTGAGGACCAGAAAGCAGACCAGAATGGTGGCACGATTCTTGAAAGAATGAGCTGGCGGGAGCTGGGAGTGTACCCTTTATCATTTCGCTCCGACCATCAGGAGCCAGAAGCGCATCGCGTGAGGCTTCAAAGGTAGGATACAACCAGGTAAGACGTAAAAATGCGTGGTCCTGAATTGCCTTCACTGTGCGTGCACTATGAAGGTGTAGAATGGGACCCTTCCCCCACTTCATGCCACCCGTTCAATCGCCCCGAACACCAAACAGCCTCGTGGCCCTGCAATGCCGCTGCCGACTACCACAACATCATACGCGCCAGGCCTGAGCGTTCGCACTGACTGTCATGAGGGCAGATTTCTCACATTAAGGGTGATCAACTCAACCTATGATGGGAACAGCAGTTCCGTGGAGCCTCTTGGGTAGCTGCAGACATTTCTTGGCGCAAAAGGCCAATTCCTGCATGAACGGCCCCTGCTAAGAAACAGAGGCCCCGACCCAGCACCTGCGGCCCTTCGAGTGGTTCTGCATATGCCGGAGCCGCGCCGATTTGCCCGAGAACCCAAAGGGCGCAGCTGCAGGGTGGAGGTGCCGTAAGAGCAGGGCACCAGGGCCCGTTCATGGCGTATGCCGCGTGGACAAATCGCAGCCAGAATCCTAAGCTTCCAGGTCTCGGAAAACGCTTTCCAGCTTCTCCAAAGGACACGAAAACCAAAATGCTGGGTCACCACCTCGTCAAGTTCAAAGAGGAATTCGCCGAGGTTGCAGCCTCAGGGCGTTTGGAACCCCTCTACCCCCTCGCTGACCACCCACAAACGTCTCCGTGCCAGTCACCCCTCCCAACCCCCCAACCACCACCACCCCCGTTCATTTCTGTGCGTCCGAACAGCCGAGGCGGGTGTTAGCGTTTACAATCGACCGAAACCAAGAAAGGTCCCTAAGCAACAAAGACAATGAGAGAGACCCAAACAAAAAACAACAACCGAGAACTCCATTTCTCAACCTTCTCAACCTCAGAAAATACACTATACATATATATATATATATATAAATATGTAGTTGCGACAAAATCGACCGAAAGTCAGTGCTGGCAGCGAGGCCGACCCCAACCTCGGAGCCACTCCTCGCCGCCGCTGTAGGCGCCCAGCCGGCGCCCGAAGAGGCTCCATCGTAGCGGTTGGGTGGCAGCTGCTCTGTGTACTGGTCTATGCGAAGGCTTTTGATTTGTGTAGTGGGCCTTAAGAATGAGTGGTCTGGGTCCCTGGAGATGCAGTTTTAGGGCGGAGTGTTATGAGCACTCAAAAGCCCTGGGCCTTGGACAAGCGAGTGGCTGAAAGGCTTACAGAGCGGATGGGGTGGGTGGGCTTAAGGGCTCCAAGCTTTCAGTAGTGTGGATTGGTTCTGGCTTTGCTCTTGGCTCTTGACCAAACCGAAACGGCAGGCTCCCACCATGCTTACGATTTTGTGTTCATTCCGTCGTCACTTTGTAGAGACAACTTGTGAGCTCAGAAAACGCCATGCCCTTGCTAAGATCATGTTGATCAACACTCCAGCACTTCCAACTGCTGCATGGCTGAATATGGCCATGAACTATACTCCCCGCACTCGCTACTTTCGACTCTCTGCCGGCCTGCATAGGCCATCGACAAAGTGGCACTGCCTTTGCCGGCCTGCCACATTTATGCTCCCGGAGTCCTGAAGCTAGCTATTCAGTTAGAGGCTTGAGGCTACGGCCGCAAACCCTTAGCTTTTGGGCTTCAAGCCTACCTGCCATGCAGTGTAGTGTGCACTACCCGGTGCCAAGGGTTCCATTGCTCACCCGTTGTAAGGCCTGTGTTCAGCAGCTTTGTAGCGCAACGCCATCTTGGAAATTCTGCCAGTCTCTCCTTCTTGGCTCTCTAGAGTCTCAAAATACGCTGGTACTGCGTAGCCCATATGCGATAGTCCTGATTGTGGTAGCCCTCAAATTCGTACCCCGAAGTTTAGGAACACCCCACTAAGTTGGGGAACAACAGGGACCCTCAATCTGCAAGACTCAAGAAAATCCAAGTCTGGTCAGACTCTAGCCCGCTTACTTTACTGGGGGTTAGTTGGGAGCAAAGTAATATGTTATATAGGGACTATATATTAAGTTACAGTATGCCAACGCCTACTATGATCTCATAAGGATCGTCATACATTGGGGGTCTATATGGGGTCCCCTGATTCATAGAAACTACCATTTTGATCTCACAAAGTACCAGACTATAGCTTTTAAGCAGAACCTTGATTGAACATTGAACGGAGAACACCAACGTAAACCTGGATTGGCAGTTGCGGAAATTGCGCGGCCCATTCCTGGCCGAAAGTTCCTAAACCCCTCAATCCTAAACCCTAAACTCAACATCTCCCGTTACAAGCAGGTGGTTTCACCTTGCTGGCTGCTCAATGAAAACCTGCTAGTTTCCCAAAATTGGAGGTACCTCTTTGGGGTCCCCATAGTGAGGATTCTAATATTTGGGGGTGTATATTGGGATTCCCTTACGTAGGGCAACTACCACCTGAACGTTTAGAACCCTGTAAGACAGCTCAGCCACCTTGGCGTTCACCACATCCGTGCCGGCCTTCAATCCACAGCGCAGTCTCTCAAAGGGACTTGGGCTTTGCATGCATGCTTAGATCCAGCCACTTGGCGGGGGTACATGAGCATTTTGCGGTATTTGAGAAGACCCGCCGGTGTTCAGATTCACGAAAGCTCAGAACATGCATTGGGAACACGGACATGTTCTTGATTGAATTCCCTTCTAGTAGGCTGCATATCAGAGTAGGAGCATGAAAAGAAAGGTAGCTTCTGGACAAACAGCATGCAGCGCAACGCAATCTTCTGGGCATTCAGGTGCAGGCTTTGTGTAGGCAAGACTGCCAGGGTGTTAAGGGCTGGGTAGAACTGACCCAACATGACCCAACCTGGAAATGTCACATGACGACCTGCTAAAGCTCAGTTTGTTCCATGGGTCTGGAGAAATTGAATCTCAGTCCTGCCCACAATGGCACACTGTTGCTATGATTCAGGCTCATTCAGACCCCCTTGTCTACTAATTTGGCAAGTTTCAACATCCCCTCTGCTCCCCACGGCGAAACCATGCCCTGCCCGAAAACAACGCTCCAGCTCCTGATGCTCAAGCCCCTAGCACGGTCCACAAAACACGGTTTAGGGTTTAGGGTTTACGGCCCCCAGCATGTTGGCCTAATCTCCATGAAGCACTATATGGTCCCAGTTTCCATGGATTTTTTTGACTTTTCCACTTCGATTCTCCATTATTGGGTAATCCCCCCATATGATCCTATATAACCTTACATGACCCTATGTAGCCACATCCTACTTCATATTCAGTCTGCCCAATTCCCCAAGGCAGAATCTATTGCCAGGTGCCCGGCATCCTGAACATGCCTGGGAAGTCATATGGGAGCTTCTTAAAACAAGGGGCCCCTGTAAGGGAAGGGTTTAAGATTTCGGATTTAGGCTCGGGAGCTTTTCCAACTTGGGGGCCCCCGAAGGACACCAAAGGATATGTAGGGATTATGGCGAGGCTAAAGGCAGCCCTCATCAGGGATTCTACAATAGTATGTTGGGGCTACATAGGGGATAATGGAAAAGAAAATGGAAACTCCTACATTATAATAGGGTATATATTGGGGCTATATACGGATAATGGAAAAGAAAATGGAAACTACTATAAGGACTGTTTCGTAAATTATACAAAAGCTGATTGTCCTCCCAGCTCATTTGTTTTTTTTGCTGGTTGCTCCTACGTATCTCCAGTACCATTTTGTCCATAGTAGAAGTTGCCCCAAAAAAGGATCCACGTGTTTGCTAACATGGTCTGCAAGCTCCTAGCTAATCAAGTTGTGCAAGCCACAGGAAAAGCCCGGGTGCCAGAACCCAGCAACTAAGCACAAATAGATGCACAAATGATGTTGCACACGCAGCGGTGCTGAATCTTACTCATTGTTGGAGCCTTGAACCTCAAACCCCTGAACCCCAAAACCTATACCGTGTTGGGCAAAACAAAGGATGCCAGGCCAAACTGCTGCTCCCACCTGATGGTGTGTCTCGTTTATGGTTTTAGGGTCTAGGCCCTGTAGGACCCTTAAACGACTCAGGTAAGCAGGGAAGGGATGGAATACAAGGATTATTGGTGATTATGTACGGGCTACTATAGGGATCCAGCCTTCCAAGCGGCAACTCGAACCCGAACCTCCCATAAAGTCATCCTTCAATAGGGCAAGGTGCTTGTCCAAGTCCGGGATCTTGTCTGCTGCAATGGTCTTTGCCACCTGAAACAGGCTAAGCTCATCTCAGCTGTATGAGGTGGGGCAAGAGGCCCTTTTGCGGGTAGGCTAAAGATATGCTAGGAGACAAGCTCCGAAAAAGCCTAGAAACACCAACGCTACCAGTTTCAGCAATATTGCAAACCGATGTAAGTAATGCGTCTTTCCCGGTGCCTTTCTAAAGTCGTTTCGTTGTTTTCGTCGCTGCCCTCTGCGCCTCCGCCCCTTCATTTCATGTGCCCTTCACTGCTTTAGCACCCGTAGACCCTCAGCTCTAATCCCAAACCCTTCACCCCTGAACCCCTACAAAAAGCGATTTTCACAAGCCTTTTCTGCAGCAGCAACCTTCGCAGGCTGGAAAACTCAAGCAGGTCTGCACGGGACACTTTGGCCGGCCTCACGATGTCGGCCATCATTAAATCTTACTCTAGAAGCCCGCTTGCGCGTTTTGTGAATGTCCAAATATGATACTTTCCCAAAAATAAGGGGAACCCCAATATAGACCCCAAAATACTATTAGCCTTATTGTGGGGCCCCCAAAAAGGTACCCTTAATTTTTTGAAATCCCCATATTGGGCATCCCCATCTTGGGAGTTCCTACGAATTCGGGATTCTAGTATGTTGAGGTCTGGCCAAACCCGCATACTGAGATGTTCTTCTGTAGCCCGGTACAAGCTGGGGGCACCCATATCCCAGGAACATAGGAGCTTCCGTCAGTATTACCCAGATAAATAATCTTGGCAGTAACTCATATACCCCCTATACACTCGAGGTTTCCATTTCATTTTCCATTTTCTTTGTCATTTGATTCTCCATTACTGGGTTACCACCCTGAAACCGAGAACCGCCTGAACCCTAAATCCTAAACCCTAAAACCTGAACCCTCAATCCTAAATCTTAGATAGCTGGGCTTCTAGGATTCCTGAGGTTGCTCAAGCCGATGTTGGCTGTTGACAGACATGCGCAAAGAATCTACCTTTGGTGGTTGCAAACAATTCGGATGGCTAAGTCCTGTAGATAAAGAAGAGCGTGAGACTCAACGTCTATCTAAGAACCTCAATCTGCCCCAGAACCTGGGGGTTTAGGGTTTAGGGAATATAAGTATGTTCGGGATACCTTTGTGACATCTACAAGTCACTGCTCATAGCCACTGAATCCTCCTCTCTCCAACGCTGCGCACAGGGCTGCAGGCATTGACTGGAGCGGCTCGCTAGCTCATTGTGACTTCACGCCTGACCTGAGGAGAACAAGTTTTTCCAATATCAGGGGTACCTTTTTGGGGTCCCAATATTAAGGACTGTAGTATTTTGGGGTCTATATTGAGGTCCCCTGTTTTGTGAAACTACCATCGCAGGAGTCGGTTGACATCTAAGGGTCTGAGCGGGTTCGGGGCTCAACATAGGAGAGCATCATGAATGCTGGATGGTTTTGGAGATCCTTTGTACTTGCATGGCTTGCAAGAATCCAGTGTTGAACAGTGTTGAATACCCTGGGTAATCAGGGCCTTAAGGTGTGGCGCGAATGCTAAGTAGGTAGCGGCATGTCGTGACAGTGCTTCAAGCCTGCATGAAGGCCGTCCGGGCAAGAGAGCTCTGCGTTAAGTCTACCCATCTACTACCCGTCTCCTCAAAACAGTCAGTCGCCGCTCCTGGTGGAAATCGTGAACCCTAACCCCTAAACCCCTAAACCCTAAACCTTAACCACTTATATATGCAACATGGAAACGGGAAAATGTGTTTTGATTAGACCGAAGGATGGGGGATGGGTATAGGCCTGCCAAAACAATGTGAGGCAAGGGCCAAAGGCTATACATGGGTTTAGGGTTTAGGCCTGAAAGGGGGGGCTATGTAGGGGATTACATAGGGGAGTATTTTGCGGGCTATTAAGGGTACGTCTACCCAAGGAACCCAACACCACATAGCGTGAATTGAAGCCAGTCGAACGTAGCTTTACGATTCAATAGCCGAAAACTCTAAGACTCTCATACGAAGATGCTTGTTTGCTTGAGAAGAACTAATCTCCTAATCTGTACCACACCTGTCCATCCAGCCTTGTACTCCAAAGTTTGCGGTCTAAGTACTTCAAACAGAGGCTCCAAATTCCTTATCCTTCAGCCCCAACTTTAAAAAAGTATCATACCCGAAATGGTAGTTTCCATCTTATTTTCCATTATCCCTATATAACCCTACCTTTACCCTATTATCACAGTACTACCTTAGACTTCAAGTCTGAGACCCCAAGCCGCATCTTCCAGGCGGAAGCGCCGCAATGTAAGAAATGGAGGCACGCGGTTTGGGGTTTAGGGGCTAGGGGTTCTAGGACATTTGGGGGTTTCCCAAAATTAGAGGTCCCACTGTAGGGGTCCCCTTAATAAGGATTATAATATTTGGGAGTCCTATATTAGGGTACAAACTCAATGTTGGGTGTGCGGGGCGCTACATACTAGTATGAAGGGAAAAAAGTGGTCATGAACCCAGCGTCAGACCTCAAAACACCCTGAACCCTAAGACCCTAGACCCTAAACCCTAAAACCCTAAAACTCCAAACCCTAAAACCCTAAACCCTAAAACCCTAAAACACTAAACCCTAAAACCTCAAACCCTAAAACCTCAAACCCTAAATCCTAAAACCCTAAAACCTTAAAACTCTAAATCCTAAAACCCTAAAAATCTGAGACACGCGAGCCAGGAGAAGATGCTGGCAAACAGCCGCGCGCTGAAGAAAATTCCTGGCTGGTTTTGGGCTGGATTTTGTATTTAGGATTTAGGGGCGTAGGGTCTAGGGTTCAGGATTTAGGGTTTAGGGTTTAGGATTTAGGGTTTAGGATTTAGGGGTTTGGGGTTAAGGGTTTGTGGTTTAGGGTATTTTGTGTTGGGGTGATTTTGTATTTGGGGGTTTCCCTTAATTAGGGAGCCCCATAGTGAGGGTTATAGTGCTTTGGGGTCTATATTGGGGTACCCTTATTTTGGGATTTTGTACTTGGGGTTCAGGAGTTCAGGGCTTAGGATTTAGGGTCTGGGGTTAGAGCTGGGGACTAGGGTTTAGGGCTAAAACATTTTGTTGTGCTTAACCCTTTACCCTAAAGAATGTGTAGCACATACGGATTTATTTTGCTTTTTCTTGGACGGTTGTTCCCCTTGAAATGATCTGGCCTCCTCCCAAGTCTCCTGCCACTTCTAGATCATGGTTTAGGGTTTAGAGCGACCTGCCATGGGGCCTGGGCCTTTGCAAGCCCAGTCCCTTCTGTTAGGTTTTGGGGTTTAGGGTCTTCCTTCTACCATATACACCGGAACCATTAGGATAATCATCACGCAGGTTCCTAACAAAGTTGCACAGGACCAGCGGCATCGTTTCAGGTCCTGGGAGACACTGTGCAGCCTAGAAAGCATAATGCAAAGCAAGGCATTGAAGCGGTGGTCCGAAAGATCTTTCAAGAAAGCATCCTTTCACGACTACTGGCCTTGGGCATTCTGACTCCAATGAATTATCAACTAAGGTGTCCTGAAGCAAGTTTCGCAAGCTAAGCCAAGATAAAATCTGTTTTCCGAGTACGGCAGATGTTGCCTCAACATGAGGCTTACACCGTTTATGATTGTTACTAGCATGAATACTGTTATGAATATTGCTACTATTGTTATTGCTACGGATATTAATCTTGATATTCTGCGAAGGCTTTGCAGAGACTCACGGGTTGCTGTCCCTCTGAGGATGTTTGGCTCCAGCTTCTATAGTACATCCCAGCTTCCAACTTCTGGAGCTTCATAAGTAAGGCTTAGGACGTAGGGGATGGTCCTGTATGTGGAGTCTAAACCCCTAGCATCCCGCTTAGTAACCCCTATAGCGCTGCTCTCTAGTCCCTGTAAGGAGTTTAGACTGCAGCTCGTGTGTGCTTACGGTTTCAGACTTTCCTTGCGAGCATCTGCATTTTCTCATCAGTCGCCTAGGCACACCCGTTGAGCATTTTACATCGCACCCTGGAGCCCAGCCATGTTAACATATTAGTGTTATTTCTCTGATTAATACTGTTATTACTATGGTTCTCACTGTAGAATACTGTAACTAATACTACGACTATTAACTATCATTACTATTATGTTCGTTAAGAACAAAGGTTCAGCGTCCTAACCCGTCAGAACCGACTGTTGCTGACCATGAAAGCAAGGCCCTCACTTCTCAAGTCGATACAAGGCGGGAGCTTAAGCCCAATGCATGGACCCACTGTCCGCATACGAACAACACAGCAAGCCCTGACCCACCACCTGCAATTTGCACATCCACGTCTGAAGATTACTGCGCAACCACTTTTTGACTGTACTGGCTCGGAAACCTTTCAAACTCGCCTATAACTGCGTAGTTTTTCTGCTACCCTAATACCTAACCCCATCCAGCTGAGGCACCCAGGAGGCTCTGGATGTAGGGGTCCCAGTACATCAGGAAGGTGGCTGGCCAGCTTTCAGGTTTGATACAGGCGACCTATATGATTACCATGGATAGGTTGAGGTCTATTTGAGGTTACCATGAATTTACACGGACTGTAGGACCATAACATTGGTATCTGCTTAAACCCTTCCCTGAGTGCTCTGGGATTCTGGGGTGTATCGTTCTGGGGTGGGACGTCCTGTGTTTATCTTTCGTCTACGCTTGGGTCGGGTTAGTGTCTGAAGGCTGTAGGCTACCAGTGCAGGATGCCCTGGGAGGTTCGGTCTTGTCAGCTAGTAGGTTCAAGCTTCCTGGTCGTTGCGGACATTGCAGACTTTGTGAAGGAAAAGATGCCCAGTGCTCCATTCAAACTACATTTTGCTTGAAGCCAAGCTTGCCTCTCTCCGAAAAAGCAGATAATTACTATTACCTGCTTCCGAGGCGTGTAAGTTGGGATATAGATGCCTTTCAAAGGCGTCTGCCAGGAATCCTTTCAGGTACCTGTACAAGCGTCCGGGGCTCTCCTATAACAGTCCAATCAAGGAGCCCTTGCTGGTGGCAAAGGCAAGTAAGCTTGTATTCGTCATGTACAAACTTCTAACCAATGCACAGCGGACATCCCACTTGGCTGCTAGGAACCATAGTTTCCTTGGGCCACACCACTCAGCAAAGGCCAATGAGGTGTCGACTCCGACGCCTGAGACCCGCAGCTATGATTCATTCCCGTTATTAAAACCACTTGTACCGGTACTATTCATAGAACGTCATGGGAAAATGCATGTGGAGGGTTTAGGGGATAATGGAGAATCGCATAGAAAAAAGCTACTTACAACAAAAAGGTGGTAGATCAGAGGAGCTGGAGCTCCAGCCTCCACAGGACCGTTTTCGGGGTTCAGGGGTTTAGGGTTTAGAGCAACAAAAACCATGAACAGTCTGTCCTACATCGGTGTCACTCGACCTTTCAGCCCTCCAAGACACCAACATAGTCCGTTTGGGAGCCCCATCGTCTCTTGAAAAATCCCATACATCCCGAAAGTCCCCAAGAACGCACTCCTGATTCTGCAGCACTTGTCATGCAAATTTCCCAGGCCTATGAGAGGGTCGTAGTTGAAGAGCCACTTGAGGGCCTGCCCGAGGATCAGCCAGAAGGACAGCCTTCAGTCGGAGATGCAGTCATACAGGGTTTCTATTTGGGGATAATGGAAAAGAACATGGAAACTACTACCGTATAATAGGGTAAAATATAGGGTACTATAGGGGTTATGTGGGTTTGTTGATTTGGTAATGTAGGCTTTTGCTAGCAAATCTCTGTCCCTGAGCTCTAAACCGTAAGCCCCGGGGCACTCCCTTGAGGACGTGTACCCAAATCCATTGTGAAGCCTGCGCTCGCACCCAACGCGGGAAGCCTCTTCCAGAAACATATGCCCAACACTATAAAGTTTTCAGAATTCCCCAAGTAGGCAAGGTATGCCTTTAGGAGGCTGAAGCTCTGTAAACCCTAGGTTGCTTTTGTTCAGACCCCTTCGGACTTCTACGTCTGCTCGCAAGCAAAGGGCTAGGGTTTAGGGTTCCAAACCCCACTGATCACAAGGCAAGCCGCGCGATGAGGATGAACACATCTGCAACCAGAACCCAGCCAAATGTCTCCTTCAGCCAGGTCCAACCTGAGTTGCATCAGAATCTCATGGAGGGTTATATATGTATGATATATGGGGGTTTCCCCAAATTATGGGTACCATTTTGGAGGTCCCAATACGAAGGGTTATAGTATCCTGGGGTCTATATTTGGTTCCCCCTAGTTTGGGAAACTACCATATGACCATGTCGGCTTGGGCAGGATTATAAAGGGTTTGTAGGGCTTTCATGCTAAAGGCCGTCTAGCTCTATGCACCACAGGGGGTTTCATCGTTGTCGAGGTTGGTGGCGTTCATATATTCTTTGGGTTTCTTTGGTGATGGAACCAAAGGAGACACAAGTCTGATTGCAAATAAATCCTCCTTTGAGACAAGGAATTTTAAAGTCCCAGTTTTCAGGTGGAGCAGCGTTGCCTGCGTGGGGTGTTTATGCAGTTGCCACTCGACTACACTTCAGTCAGACAGATGTAACAGGCTATAAGGGTTGCTAATACGCTTGAGGGGAGTGGTAAAGAAAATGGAAACAAACGCATTGTTGGAGAGTATATGGGCACTACTCTAGCCCTCCGGAAAAGTCGTGAACCGCAAGTGAAGATGGCCTTCAACCTATGGTTACTACTGTTGTTACTATGATTATGATTGCTATTAGTATGATTGCCCAGCTACCCCTAAACCCCTAGACCCTAAACCCCTTGACCCTTAACCGATCATTCTTACTGTCATCTCGGTGATGTTGCTACAGCAATTCCGACGATGCAGGGATTCAGGAGTATGAGGCTTCTCTTGCAAGTTCTGGGGCGGTTTAGGATTTAGGGTTTAGGGGTGGGGAAACTCCCATACCGGAACAGCCCAATGAGGTTTTCGCTCCTCATCAATTTCATGCAAACTCCATTTCTTGAACAGCGCTTTGAACTCACATCAATAAACCCACGCCCCAGCACAAAAGATCTCAAGCGGCGGCCCTTCCCGCCTCAAGAGCCAAGAGGATGAGTCATGTAGGATGACGGTAATCCACCCCTGGGGTGGTGGGCGGATGTGGGCGGTATAGGGACCCCCTGATCAATCAAACCCTGAGAACCTCAAACCTACAGTCCCCCTTAAGTAGGTAGAAAATGGGGTATATGGGGATCTTACTATGATATACCCAAAGCCATATTCCATCTACTTAAGGGGGACTAAATGCTGAAAGCCATCGAGAAGCCGTCTTCTTCGGGTTCCTCCTGATCCTCTTTGGCCTCATCCTGCAGGGCCCGAGTCTGTTGGGTACTGCACCCCCTCAGTAACAGTTGGATAATAATTATAATAGGGTTTTATGTAGCCCTTAATAGGACCCCTAATATGGACTGTTACTGCGGGGGGAGTACCCAAAGAGTCTGCTTTGCTACGTCTTTCGTCTTGGGCTTGGCATAGGAAGATGTCAGATTCAGGGCGCTTAGCCTTTGTGTGTTTTGGACCTGCCATCGCGCGAGAAGGAGAACTTGCACCAGTGCGTATGGTGTTCCCACATTATTGAAATCTCCAAGCTGGAGATCAATCTGGAAAAGCATGACATAAGACTCCAATGGACGTAAAGGTGCTTGGGGGATCGTAAGCTTGAATGCCCATGGAATGCACGGGCCTGACATGCAAGACACACACAAAGCAAGCGTGTGTCTAGGGTTTAGGGCTTAGGGTATAAGGTGTAGGGTTTAGGCCGCATGTGGCCCTCTGTGTTGTGAGGCAGGCTCAATCAATAGGCTTGCTCTCATCTGGCCTAAGTTACAGCCAGGTCTTCCCACGGTACCCGCCATCAAGCGCAAAAACATGTCTAAACCTGTCTAAACCTCTAGGGGAGCTCTAGATCCTGAACAGCGCTAAGCCCCCAAAAACATCCATAGGCCCATAATCTAGAGGCTTCACAATTACCTGTATCATCTTGAGCATGGGTAATTATTCAGAGCTGGGCCCCCTTCGTCCTCGGCTTGGGCAGCTGCTGCCAACTCGTCAAGGATGCCATCGAATTGCTCCTTGCCCTTGGGCAATCTGTGCTTCTCAAGGAGGATCTGATTTTCTTTTGATGCACACATGCTACGGGATGGGGAGGCCTTCGCAAATTGTGCCAAGTGTCATTGGTGCAGAGGCGGGCGATGTGTTGAAGTTTTATCATTATTCACGCCACCGACAACATCACGCTCACTAAAGCTAAACCACGGTAAGTTCGTCCAGGGAGTAAGGTATGGCTGTACTCAGCACACCTTGCGCGAACTCCAAGAATGATGCTGCTGCACAGTCATCTGCCTCGGCCATGAACCTTACTTTGGTTTAATGATATTCTTCCGAGATTTCTGAGTCCTTGTTCTCCCAGGCGCGATAATCCCCTCCCTCCCCCTGATAATATCCCACCCTCATCAGCTAACGGTATTTTAGTGAGGAGCATTTATCATTAGGGTGTGGCGGGGGTGTTATTGGGGGAGGAGATTAGGCCATTTCTGACAAACAGCGAGGGCCGCACATGGGCTCCAAACTGGAAAACGGTTCTTGAACCCCATTTGAAAGCATGTATAAACATTCATGAATACGTTCTCTTTCACAACAATAGGGGGATTCCGTAATTATCCCAGAGGGCCTAAACTAAACCCTAAACCCTACCATCTACCCAAACCTTTTCCGAAGGCCCCGGCACTCCTGGATACCGCTGCCAGCAACCTGCTTGGTAACCCTAACCCTAAACCCTAAACCCCTAAACCCTAAACCCCTAAACCGCTAAACCCCTAAACCCTACACCGCTAAACCCTAAACTCCCAAACCCCCCAAACCCCAGGGTATCCTGGATACCACTGCCGGCAACCTGCTTGGTGATTTCACCCGACTCTGCTCTTCTCAGGGCTGGGGAGCTCTGCTTGGGAGCCGGCCTGAGAGATAGGGTTTAGGGTTTAGGGGTTTAGGGTATAGGGTGTACATAGGGATATAGAGGTCAAGGTTTTTGGTGTAGGGTATAGGGTGTTTTTTGAGCTACAGCCAATATTTCCCATAACTGACGGACAACCAAAGAAACCCCTGTGTCCACTGCTAATGATCCCTTAGCAACCCTGGATTGACACTAGCTCGTGTCGGACATGGAAAAAAGTGAGAACTGTTCCGTCCTTGAAGGTGCAGGGCTTAGGGTTGTATAGGGAGGTTATTAGGATAAACGGCCCAATCCTGGAGAAGCAATTGGACAAAAACCAAGGAAAATCACATGCAAAGCGGCGCTCCTACTGTAGAACTCACAACGCAAACCTATAAGGGTCTCAGGGGGACAGTATGCTTGAATTTGTTCAGACTGCTACAGTACCATACGAAGAGTTCCCTTTTTGGTGCAGGGCTGTATGAATACCCTTCTGGGGGCGCAGGTTGGGGCTTCAAGGTGTTGACATAGATTGAGTATGTCGGACTTACATCTGAATTTTTGGGTAGAGAGATGCAAGCTTTATTGAGAGAAGCATTGCCTGCAAGCCCTGCATAGTCTCGTCGAAACCCGGTGTGCCTTGATAAGGATTCAGAAATCATCCAGAATCCTTGAGGGAACCCCGTGCTCTCCATGTGATCACCACATACCATGGGACCCACAATTTGAGCTGAACCCTAATCCAAAAATGCTTACCCCTAGAACGCTGTTGAGATGACCTAAGGCCCCATTTCTTTTTTGGAAGCCTCCCCGTCGTGGTGATGACAGGCAAGAAGCTGGCCCGTGAAAGTAAGAGCGCCCAGCGTGGCAAAGCACACCTTGAAAAGCTGGGTTGCACGGTGCAGGATGTAGGGGTGAGGGCTCGGAACTTATGCCAAGCTGAGGCTGCATGGGGATTGCGCAGGAATTGCAGGAACTGAAATTCGGCCCATATTTACAAAAAACTTCAACTTAGCAACCCTAGGCATGCACGGAGGATGGTTTGGGGGATCCATCATAAGCATCATAGGGGTAACTTTGAGAGAAGAACATCTATTAGGCCTTTCTCCGTTCGGACAAGACTTGGCATGGGGCTTGCAAGGTCCTGTGGTTAAAATTGCCGTCAGAACCCTAAAGCCAAACTGCGTTGCTGTTAAGGAACTTAAATTAAGTTACCATAATGGGTATATATAGTAAATAATACGGTTTCCCCAATATAGTAACTTAATTTAAATTCCTTAACAGCAACCCAGCAAAAGACTGTTCAAAGCAGGAGTGCAGGTTGCCACCTCCGTGTTTCGATGCGTTCAGAGCCATTGCAATAAGGACTGCCCTCATATTATTATTGCTATTATTATGACGGTTATTCTTATTGGAATTTCTAGAAGGGCCTTGGATGTGGAATGTACAACTGTCGTTATAGCAGGCAAGGCTCGAATTAGGGGCTTCGCTAGACACATTAAGCCTTAAGCTAACTCCCTTGGAGCTCCGAAGCAAGTGAAGACTGATTTTAAGGCCATCTGCTATAGAATATCAAGCTGAGGCCACTTACTACTCGGTGTCAGGACCTTGGCTGAACCAGTTGCTTGGTCCCGGAGATGCCAAGTTCAGTAGTGGAAAAGACTTCTGAGATGTTATGCTCTGTTCGGAAATATTTGGGTAGTTCCCCATTTAGGGTCCCATTTTGGTACCCCTAAATATCAGGTGCCGTGATATAANNCATAATTTTGAGAACAACCCATTTCGCTTCCAGCTTGTGAAGGCGCCGAAAGAGCGCCAAGGGTTTGACACCCCCAATGGCCTAATCCAAACCAGCTCATGATCAAGTGGTGGATGGCTGCATCACAGAGCTGGGAAGGTGTTCTCGGCTAATGCGGCCTTTATGACTACGAATAGTATTCCCTTATACTCCTTGCCTAGCTACTTCGGCGTATTAGCCTCTACACCACGATCTCTAGTAACCCTGCAACACACCTTCAATTTTGCTAATTAGTTTTTTTTGGTCTCCGCTATTCCACTCTTTAATCCTAACGCTAGATCCTGAAACCTATCTCTCCCTAGAACCCCGCTAAAAGGACCCTGCGCCCCCCCCCCCCCCCCCCNNGGTTTTAAGGTTTAGGGTTTGAGGGTCTTGAGGTTGAGGACTTTAGGGTTTAGGGTTGTAGGGTTCAGTGTTTTAGGGTTTAGGTTGGGTCATTCCCCCTTACAGTACCTGTCCTTAATTTAGGGGATAATTCTATGGTAACAGTTACTGTAAGGGGAATGACCTAAAGCTTAAAGTTTAGGGAGTAGGGAGGCTCTACCTGGTACGCTTCCCAAAATTAGGGGTATCAGTTTGGGGGTCCCGATAATAGGGTTGGGTTGGAGGGGTCTTATTGAGGTCCCCGATGCATGGAAACCTCCAGTCAGGACCCGTCATTTACCTGAAGATGTAATCCCTAAACCCGAAACCCCCAACCCTTGAGTTCTACGACTCCCAGATGAGACCCCTCTAATTTTGCAAGCCGTAACCCCTAAACGCTATGTATTCCTCTAGGTCCCTGTAGAACCCTGACATGTCCTCATATACCCCCATATATAGTGGGTGGGTTGTCAAGATCATGGTCCTGGCCCCTTTTTGGTACCCTAGATATTAGGGGCCGTACCACAACTGGTCCACCAAAAGCATGGACCTAATTTTAACGAATCCCCTCATATATATATATATATGTATGTAAAATATATTTGAACCATTTATGTATCAGCCTCTCCGCTTTTAGGGAGACCTAGCTTGTTGAGGCAAAGGTGCCGCGGCCAGCCAAAGCAAACTGCCTGAGCGCCGGCTGGTCCTTCCGGATGGGTCAAGTTGCTAGGTTTTGGATTTAGGCCTCACGTTTTTAGGGTTTAGAATCTGGGTTTTAGGTTTTAGGGATATTCTTTGCCAGAAGCCCATGCCCAAAGCCAACATCGGAAGACGACATGACGGCAAGTAAGGGGGGGTATCTTCAGTGTCTTTGCTCATCATCCTGGCTGAATTTCCTCCATTTTTGTGGGTTAGACCTACTAGTTAAAAGTTGAAAAGTAATTACTGCTATCTGGGGTTGCAGGCACTGTTTACATCCCCCGATATCAACAAAAGGCAGGTGAAACGCTCACAACCCTGAAGTTCTGCACTGCCCCAAGAGGAAACTCTACGCACCTGTTTGGATACTTTAAAGCCGAACAAGCACAGTAGCTGCCGGAGATCATCTGGCTCTTGATGATTCCCAGTATCCCGCTTTGCGGGGTCGTTGCTGCTTACCTGATTTCGTGCTGGGACCAAGACAATATGACATTCCTTACCAGGCTTTGTTTTTTTGAACGCACGCAAAAAGGTGTATCAGACCATGGCCCATTTATAGTACTATAGTTGGCAATCAAGTGATGCAAGAGCTCAGCCCCACAGTTACTGTTTAGCGAGCATATACTAGGCATTGGACGCAGTACAGTGCCTGCTTTCTCGCTAGCCCAAGTTCAGCCCACAAAGAACAAGCCGCTCCTTGCCATGTTGCCGCTGGAGCGCCAAAGGCGGAAGTTGCTACAGCTAGTCTATCTTTGCCTGTCTTGCTGTGGTAGATGTCTCAGTGAGCTGCTTGCTTATGATGGTTTCAGGCTTCAGGCCACTCCTGTCTCCTTCTATGGGCTGCATGACCCAAACAGCATTACCTCACGCACGCACCTCCTTCCTAGGTACAAAGGCTAGAACAGCCTCCTGAGCAGCTGAATTGCAGAACTGTGAGCCTGGCAGCCTTATCAGGCTAATTTCTGCATGTCCATCATATCATCCAGCGTTGTGAAGCATTCTGAAGCCAAAAAGCTTGCATTGCATGGGTGTGAATGTGTGCTTCTCCCACGATGAAACTGATGAAGGCGATCTGAGCGAAGAGATGCATCACGCTAACGTTGCAAGGTCCCTACCGGGTGGCTCAATCAAGGGTGCCCAAAAGCATCAGCATCCTAGTTGCAGGGTCGGGAGGACTAAATAGTTCGTACGTACGACCCCAGCAATCCCCGCTAAGACACCTACTCACTAAGTGACCCCTCTAAGTACCTTGTCGAAAGACCTTAGCCATGATCCTCAAAGAACCAAAAACCCCACCAGGACGGCCTTATCCTGTGAAAAGAGGGGAAGGATTGTTACAC